GAGTTCCTCATGCCCTTCAGGTAACCTGTCTGTGTTGTTTCCCCCCCTCCCCCTCTCCTGTGCCACGAGCGAATACTCTCCTCCTACAAGGAGTTCCTCATGCCCTTCAGGTAACCTGTCTGTGTTGTTTCCCCCCCTCCCCCTCTCCTGTGCCACGAGCGAATACTCTCCTCCTACAAGGACTTCCTCATGCCCTTCAGGTAACCTGTCTGTGTTGTTTCCCCCCCTCCCCCTCTCCTGTGCCACGAGCGAATACTCTCCTCCTACAAGGAGTTCCTCATGCCCTTCAGGTAACCTGTCTGTGTTGTTTCCCCCCCTCCCCCTCTCCTGTGCCACGAGCGCATACTCTCCTCCTACAAGGACTTCCTCATGCCCTTCAGGTAACCTGTCTGTGTTGTTTCCCCCCCTCCCCCTCTCCTGTGCCACGAGCGAATACTCTCCTCCTACAAGGACTTCCTCATGCCCTTCAGGTAACCTGTCTGTGTTGTTTCCCCCCCTCCCCCTCTCCTGTGCCACGAGCGAATACTCTCCTCCTACAAGGAGTTCCTCATGCCCTTCAGGTAACCTGTCTGTGTTGTTTCCCCCCTCCCCCTCTCCTGTGCCACGAGCGAATACTCTCCTCCTACAAGGAGTTCCTCATGCCCTTCAGGTAACCTGTCTGTGTTGTTTCCCCCCCTCCCCCTCTCCTGTGCCACGAGCGAATACTCTCCTCCTACAAGGACTTCCTCATGCCCTTCAGGTAACCTGTCTGTGTTGTTTCCCCCCCTCCCCCTCTCCTGTGCCACGAGCGAATACTCTCCTCCTACAAGGAGTTCCTCATGCCCTTCAGGTAACCTGTCTGTGTTGTTTCCCCCCCTCCCCCTCTCCTGTGCCACGAGCGAATACTCTCCTCCTACAAGGACTTCCTCATGCCCTTCAGGTAACCTGTCTGTGTTGTTTCCCCCCCTCCCCCTCTCCTGTGCCACGAGCGAATACTCTCCTCCTACAAGGAGTTCCTCATGCCCTTCAGGTAACCTGTCTGTGTTGTTTCCCCCCTCCCCCTCTCCTGTGCCACGAGCGAATACTCTCCTCCTACAAGGAGTTCCTCATGCCCTTCAGGTAACCTGTCTGTGTTGTTTCCCCCCCTCCCCCTCTCCTGTGCCACGAGCGAATACTCTCCTCCTACAAGGACTTCCTCATGCCCTTCAGGTAACCTGTCTGTGTTGTTTCCCCCCTCCCCCTCTCCTGTGCCACGAGCGAATACTCTCCTCCTACAAGGAGTTCCTCATGCCCTTCAGGTAACCTGTCTGTGTTGTTCCCCCCCTCCCCCTCTCCTGTGCCACGAGCGCATACTCTCCTCCTACAAGGAGTTCCTCATGCCCTTCAGGTAACCTGTCTGTGTTGTTTCCCCCCCTCCCCCTCTCCTGTGCCACGAGCGCATACTCTCCTCCTACAAGGAGTTCCTCATGCCCTTCAGGTAACCTGTCTGTGTTGTTCCCCCCCTCCCCCTCTCCTGTGCCACGAGCGAATACTCTCCTCCTACAAGGAGTTCCTCATGCCCTTCAGGTAACCTGTCTGTGTTGTTTCCCCCCCTCCCCCTCTCCTGTGCCACGAGCGAATACTCTCCTCCTACAAGGACTTCCTCATGCCCTTCAGGTAACCTGTCTGTGTTGTTTCCCCCCCTCCCCCTCTCCTGTGCCACGAGCGAATACTCTCCTCCTACAAGGAGTTCCTCATGCCCTTCAGGTAACCTGTCTGTGTTGTTTCCCCCCCTCCCCCTCTCCTGTGCCACGAGCGAATACTCTCCTCCTACAAGGAGTTCCTCATGCCCTTCAGGTAACCTGTCTGTGTTGTTTCCCCCCCTCCCCCTCTCCTGTGCCACGAGCGAATACTCTCCTCCTACAAGGAGTTCCTCATGCCCTTCAGGTAACCTGTCTGTGTTGTTTCCCCCCCTCCCCCTCTCCTGTGCCACGAGCGAATACTCTCCTCCTACAAGGAGTTCCTCATGCCCTTCAGGTAACCTGTCTGTGTTGTTTCCCCCCCTCCCCCTCTCCTGTGCCACGAGCGCATACTCTCCTCCTACAAGGACTTCCTCATGCCCTTCAGGTAACCTGTCTGTGTTGTTTCCCCCCCTCCCCCTCTCCTGTGCCACGAGCGCATACTCTCCTCCTACAAGGAGTTCCTCATGCCCTTCAGGTAACCTGTCTGTGTTGTTTCCCCCCCTCCCCCTCTCCTGTGCCACGAGCGAATACTCTCCTCCTACAAGGACTTCCTCATGCCCTTCAGGTAACCTGTCTGTGTTGTTTCCCCCCTCCCCCTCTCCTGTGCCACGAGCGAATACTCTCCTCCTACAAGGAGTTCCTCATGCCCTTCAGGTAACCTGTCTGTGTTGTTTCCCCCCCTCCCCCTCTCCTGTGCCACGAGCGCATACTCTCCTCCTACAAGGAGTTCCTCATGCCCTTCAGGTAACCTGTCTGTGTTGTTTCCCCCCCTCCCCCTCTCCTGTGCCACGAGCGAATACTCTCCTCCTACAAGGACTTCCTCATGCCCTTCAGGTAACCTGTCTGTGTTGTTTCCCCCCCTCCCCCTCTCCTGTGCCACGAGCGAATACTCTCCTCCTACAAGGAGTTCCTCATGCCCTTCAGGTAACCTGTCTGTGTTGTTTCCCCCCCTCCCCCTCTCCTGTGCCACGAGCGAATACTCTCCTCCTACAAGGAGTTCCTCATGCCCTTCAGGTAACCTGTCTGTGTTGTTTCCCCCCCTCCCCCTCTCCTGTGCCACGAGCGAATACTCTCCTCCTACAAGGAGTTCCTCATGCCCTTCAGGTAACCTGTCTGTGTTGTTTCCCCCCCTCCCCCTCTCCTGTGCCACGAGCGCATACTCTCCTCCTACAAGGACTTCCTCATGCCCTTCAGGTAACCTGTCTGTGTTGTTTCCCCCCCTCCCCCTCTCCTGTGCCACGAGCGAATACTCTCCTCCTACAAGGAGTTCCTCATGCCCTTCAGGTAACCTGTCTGTGTTGTTCCCCCCCTCCCCCTCTCCTGTGCCACGAGCGAATACTCTCCTCCTACAAGGAGTTCCTCATGCCCTTCAGGTAACCTGTCTGTGTTGTTTCCCCCCCTCCCCCTCTCCTGTGCCACGAGCGAATACTCTCCTCCTACAAGGACTTCCTCATGCCCTTCAGGTAACCTGTCTGTGTTGTTTCCCCCCCTCCCCCTCTCCTGTGCCACGAGCGAATACTCTCCTCCTACAAGGAGTTCCTCATGCCCTTCAGGTAACCTGTCTGTGTTGTTTCCCCCCCTCCCCCTCTCCTGTGCCACGAGCGAATACTCTCCTCCTACAAGGAGTTCCTCATGCCCTTCAGGTAACCTGTCTGTGTTGTTTCCCCCCCTCCCCCTCTCCTGTGCCACGAGCGAATACTCTCCTCCTAAAAGGAGTTCCTCATGCCCTTCAGGTAACCTGTCTGTGTTGTTTCCCCCCCTCCCCCTCTCCTGTGCCACGAGCGAATACTCTCCTCCTACAAGGACTTCCTCATGCCCTTCAGGTAACCTGTCTGTGTTGTTCCCCCCCTCCCCCTCTCCTGTGCCACGAGCGAATACTCTCCTCCTACAAGGAGTTCCTCATGCCCTTCAGGTAACCTGTCTGTGTTGTTCCCCCCCTCCCCCTCTCCTGTGCCACGAGCGAATACTCTCCTCCTACAAGGAGTTCCTCATGCCCTTCAGGTAACCTGTCTGTGTTGTTTCCCCCCCTCCCCCTCTCCTGTGCCACGAGCGCATACTCTCCTCCTACAAGGAGTTCCTCATGCCCTTCAGGTAACCTGTCTGTGTTGTTTCCCCCCCTCCCCCTCTCCTGTGCCACGAGCGAATACTCTCCTCCTACAAGGAGTTCCTCATGCCCTTCAGGTAACCTGTCTGTGTTGTTTCCCCCCCTCCCCCTCTCCTGTGCCACGAGCGAATACTCTCCTCCTACAAGGACTTCCTCGTGCCCTTCAGGTAACCTGTCTGTGTTGTTTCCCCCCCTCCCCCCTCTCCTGTGCCACGAGCGAATACTCTCCTCCTACAAGGACTTCCTCATGCCCTTCAGGTAACCTGTCTGTGTTGTTCCCCCCCTCCCCCTCTCCTGTGCCACGAGCGAATACTCTCCTCCTACAAGGAGTTCCTCATGCCCTTCAGGTAACCTGTCTGTGTTGTTTCCCCCCCTCCCCCTCTCCTGTGCCACGAGCGAATACTCTCCTCCTACAAGGAGTTCCTCATGCCCTTCAGGTAACCTGTCTGTGTTGTTTCCCCCCCTCCCCCTCTCCTGTGCCACGAGCGAATACTCTCCTCCTACAAGGACTTCCTCATGCCCTTCAGGTAACCTGTCTGTGTTGTTTCCCCCCCTCCCCCTCTCCTGTGCCACGAGCGCATACTCTCCTCCTACAAGGACTTCCTCATGCCCTTCAGGTAACCTGTCTGTGTTGTTCCCCCCCTCCCCCTCTCCTGTGCCACGAGCGCATACTCTCCTCCTACAAGGACTTCCTCATGCCCTTCAGGTGATTTGCCCTTCAGGTGATTTGCCCTTCAGGTAAACCCCTCCTTTCTGGTAGCAGGCCCTTCAGGTAGCGCGTCTTTGCTCCTTGGGCAAAGCGAGTCATGCATTCACCTTACCTACTCAGCATCTTCCTTTTCCCCTTTCCCTGCATCCCTTGCCTTGCCCCTGCCTCTGTACGTCCCTTCATCCTCGTTACAATCACACAGGGAGGACCTAGTGGGCTTCCCAGAGTACGGCTGGTCTGTCAGCAGTGCCAAGCGAGTCATGCCTTGCCTATCCAATCCCAACACCTTCCTTTTCCCCTATCTCCCTTATGTCTTGCGCCCCCCGCCTCTGTACTTCCCTTTATTTGCGTTACAATCACAGGGAGGACCTAGTGAGCTTCCCAGAGTATCGCTGGTTTGTCAGCAGCGCCAATCGAAGCAAGTGATGCGTTTTCCCCTGCATCCCCTGCCTCTGCCCATCCCTTCACCCCTATTGCAATCTCACAGGGAGGACCTAGTGAGCTTCCCAGAGTATCGCTGGTCTGTCAGCAGCGCCAAGCGAGTCATGCAGAATTTCTTCATATAAATAAACGCCTTCTACGGTGTTCCAGTCAACAATTCTTAATCATCCCTGAGCTCCCCAAGGATGGTACAGTTTGATGAAATAGTCAGAATCTCAGCCACTAGACCATTGGGATAAAAGGGTTTGTTAAGTAGCGGATCAGTGCGCCCATAGCCTTCCAAGCCAACATGTTTGTAATCCCTCCCTAGGATCAATCGGGGATTACCAGTCGACCTCTGACAACCCCTCGCGCTGGGATGCCCGAAGTGCACACACCGGGATTCAAACCCGAAACCTTCGCTCTGATATCATGTCAGAATCCCAACCACTAGACCATTGGGATAAAATGGTTTGTTAAGCAGCGGGTTAGTGCGCCCATAATTCCCCAAGCCAACGTGCATGTAATCTTTCCCTAGGATCAATCGGGGATCACCAGTGGATCTCTAACGGAAATGTTCATCACTAGTACTGTAGCTCTCTAGAATTTAGTAATGTGCCAGATCCCTCCTGCTGACAACATTACAGGATTTGGCTCGCCGTAGCTTTCTCGCCATGCGATTGGTTCAGCTGCTACTACACTAGAATTTATGCTAAGTTTTTGTATGCAAAGTAGATGTATAAGTGGCAAGCTAGAATGCCCAGAATTATTATATTTATGTGTGGTTGTAGTGTACCCAATTAAACTGTAAAACTATTTGCTGACAAAAAGTGGTTAGTGAAGAAACAATTTTACACAGTTTCTTACAGCGAAGCAGCAATATGCGCTACAGCTTGATTCGTCTTCGTGTTTGCCCCTTGGCTGGTCCCAGCCTTCCTTCGTGCTAATCCCGTAATTCCATGTGTCCGCGCCGCTTCAAGACACGAACGCTTAGTTAGCTTAGCATGCGATGCGACCTTCGGTCTTCGGAGCAACGCGGTCGGAATTTGCCTTCGGAAGGACGCGGTTGATTGCGGTTCAACGCACTTTGACGCGGTCTGACGGGATTAGACGTAGTCAGTCGTCTGTGGGGTGTGCAGAGGGGGTCCTCAGATGTCCCGGGTCGGCGTTCGAATGCTTCAGGGCATACGCCATGCTCCTCCTCGGAATATTAAATGTCCGTTCCAAACCAAAGATGCTATGTTTTTGGTAGACCGCCGTGCTCCTTCGCGGATGGCGAGATCCGGGTTTTGGCTCGGAACGTCAACTTCAGCTTCGGTATCAGCTTCGGTTTCAGCCTCGGTTTCAGATTCGGCTTTAACGAGCAATAGCAACGTACCAAACGTGCCGATTGCTTGTCGGCATTTGATGAACCCTCAGCAGCAGCAGCGACCATTACCGAACGGGTTGGCTTTCGCAGCGTTTCTGAAGCAGCAATCGATGTCGTACGGTATACAGCGTTCGCTGCTTTTATCGGACAGCACTGTAGCGGATCGGATTCGTCTACAGTCCTTCTCGAGCTTTGCGACGCCGCATAACAGTGCCGCGGCCGGGCTTATAGCGGATACAGAAACTGAAGGACGGGAGGGAAGGGAGGTGGGAGGGTCGGCTGGGAGGGAGGCTGGAGCGGAGGGAGGGAGGGAGAGGGATCAAGAACTGCGTGAAGGACGAGAAGAACGAAAAGGAGCAGGAGAAGGAGGGGAAGGAGAAGACGTGGTGATTGCGATGGGGGGAAACATCGGAAATCGCGTGGCGAATTTCCACCGAGCGTTGCAGATGTTGCGAGAGGTGCGTCAAGGCTGGGAGGGGTGCGTCAAGGCTGGGAGGGGTGCGTCAAGGCTGGGAGGGGTGCGTCAAGGCTGGGAGGGGTGCATTGCACTAAACTGATTTCAGTGAGAGAGGGTGCGTGGTGGATGGGATTGGAGGGAGGGGTGCACTGATGTTTGTGATACATGCCTGTAGTACAAGCCGTGTTATGCTCAGTGCACTCATATGTGTGATTGGGTTGGGTTGGGAGGAGCAAGTACGAACTGTGATATATACCCTCAGTCCTCTGCTGTGCCTCGCCTCATTCCGGCAGGATTCCCCTCAGGTTCGCAACGCAAGCACTCTACCTGACACCTAAGAGAATTCTTTTAGCAGAAGATAGACAATTCGGTAAAAACATACTCTACCTGACACCCCCTTTCTCCTCGTTTGCTGCAGGCAGGAGTGCAAGTGCACAGGCACGGGTGCCTGTACGACTCACGTTCCTCTGAACCGCACCCACCCCCCCCTCCCCCCCTCAACTCCTTCCCCCTTCACTTGCCCTCATTTGCTGTGGGCAGGAGTGCAGGTTCACAAGCACCAGTGCCTGTTTGGGTCCACGCATGCCTATGTCTCCAACCATGGCACAGGAGGCAGGGAGGGAGGGAGGAAGAGATGCCGTCACACCGCTGCCTCTCCCTCTGCTTTCCCCTCTATGTCATTTGCTGCAGGCAGGGGTGCAGGTTCACAAGCATGGCTATCTGTACAAGTTACAACTCACGCTCTTCTGACGCCCCCCCCCCCCAATCATTTCCCCCCCACCCCCCTCCCCCGCTGCAGGCAGGGGTGCAGGTTCACAAGCATGGCTGTCTCTACGAGTCAGCGCCTGCCTATGTCACCGATCAGCCGTTTTTCCTCAACTCTGCTATTCAGGCACGTCAACCCGTTTTCTCTCACTGAAGGCCCCCAACCCCACAACCCTCTTCCCCCCACCCCCTGCTCTTCAATGTTTTTACTTGAGTTTTAAGTTGTCCACCTTTGGCCGGATGGTTCTACTGTCTCTTCTTCTTTTCTTTAAGATGACTTTTGAGTCGACTCAAAAGTCACCTCGTTGTACAGGCGCATACTACTGTTTTCTCTTCTTTTCTTAAAGCCCGACTGGAGTCTCCTGCTAGCTCTGAGAGTCATTGGTGCGTTTCCCCCATTTGTTGCTGTCTCCACCTCCCCCTTCCTCCGTTTTTTTGGACTCCTCAAAGCTTTGAGGCGTCTCAAAGGCTGTTTTTCCAGGCGCCTCAAAAGTCTCCCCCATTTGTTTCCCCCATTGCTGCTGTTTCCACCTCCCCCTTCCTCCGTTCCGCTCCCCCACTGCAGGCCCGCACATCTCTCCCCCCCCACGCGCTCCTCTCAGAGTCAACCCTCAGAAGAGACCTCAACCGCTCTTCGCTCAGCGCTTCGGCCCACATAATTTTTTCCCCCTCTCCATCCGTTTTTCTCCCCAATCCAGGCGCGCACAACCCTCGCCCCCCACGCGCTGCTCTCTCTCCTCAAGTCAATCGAGTCAACCCTCGGGAGGAACCTCAACCCGCTCACAGCCCAGCGCTACGGCCCCCGGCCTCTGGATCTCGATTTGATTTTCTATGGGTCTAGAACCATCCGGCCTGAAGAAACCACTCATTGTGCAGCTGCTGCTGCTGCTGCTGCTGCTGGTGCTGCTGGTGGTGGTGCTGCTGCTGCTCCTGTTGTTGCTCCTACCCCTGATGCTCCTCCTGCTGCTTCCGCCTCTGCTGCTGCTCCTCCTCCTGCCTCTGCTGCTGCTCCTCCTCCTGCCTCTGCTGCAGCAACCAGCACCCCATTCGACCTCGAGGTTCCACACCCACGCTTAGCTGAAAGACTCTTTGTGCTCGCCCCTGTGGCGGACTTGCTGGAGTCTGTTCAGGTTGAGGCCCCAGGAATCAAAGCCCCCCATGACAAGGCTGAGTCTGAGGCGCCTCAACAACACGCCCCAGTGGCGGACCTGCTGGGGTCTGCCCAGGCTGAGGACGAACGGGTGCCCGCGTGGGTGTTTCACCCGGCGTTTGGCAAGGCTGGAGTGCCGGGGTAAGTGTTTCTGAGGTTCTTATGAATGAGGAGTGTAAGGGCTTAGTGTGGTGGGGAGATGAGTTGGCCCTTAGTCAAAATTTTAGTCAATTGTTTTGTCAATTTTCGAGTCGACTAGAATTGATCTTCCCTGCCCACAGAGGATGGGTAGGTGCGGCTCCCTCCTCTCTCACCTGTGTTCCGTAATGTCGCGTAATGTGTTTAGTAATGTGTTTCGTCATGTGTTTCATTAACGTGTTTCATTGATGTGTTTCATAATGTCTCGTAATTGTGTTTCGTGATGTGTTTCATTATGCTTTTCTTCCCCCATCCCTGCCGTCCCTCCATCCCTCCCGATTCCCCATCTTCCAGCCTTTGGAGAAATCTGGGTGGAGAGGTAGCAGTGGGGGGAAATGACCTGAGGAGGGTAGTTCCCCTTGCCCAGCGGCTATTTAGAGGGCAGAGCGTGGGGAGAAAGGAAGAGGGGGAGGGCCCCCTGTGGGCATGGGAGGGGCAGCAGCGGCCTCTGGTAATGGGGATCCTGAATGTTACTCCTGATAGCTTCAGTGATGGGGGGAGATTCACCCGGGATGGGAATGGCAGTGGCAGTGGCAGCGACAGCACAGGCAGCAGCAGCAGCGGCAGTGGCAGCAACAGCGGCGGCAGTGGTTTCAGCAGCAAGAACAACAGCAACAGGAGTGTATGTGTAGATGTGCAGGCAGCAAGAGAAGCAGAGAGAATGGTGGCAGAAGGAGCAGACATTATCGACATAGGAGGGCAATCCACCAGACCTGGAGACACAGGAGATGCAAAGAGATTTAGCCACCTAGAAAGTTTCGGGGTAGATGTTGAAGCAGCAGTGAGAGAAGCAGAGAGAATGGTGGCAGAAGGAGCAGACATTATTGACATAGGGGGGCAATCCACCAGACCTGGAGCCACCCGCTTGTTGACCAATGAGGAGCTGACACGTGTCATCCCTGTCATCCAGGCCGTCAGATCACGATCGCCAGATGTGATCATCTCAGTGGACACTTTCGATGCGGAGGTTGCCAGGTCAGCAGCCTTAGCTGGCGCTGACGTCATCAACGATGTGTCGGGTGGCACGATGGATCCGCAGATGCTGCCGACGGTTGCCGCCCTGAATCTCCCGTTTGTCCTGATGCACATGCGGGGAGATCCCACTACCATGCAGTCTTCCGAAAACACAACGTACAAAGATATCATTGCTGACGTGGCATCTGAGTTGGCAGAGCAGGTGGCAGCTGCTGAGAGGGCCGGGATTCCCCTGTGGAATATCATTCTGGACCCGGGCATCGGGTTTGCTAAGACAGGCCAGCAAAATCTGGAGCTGATTAGGAACCTCGGGCAGTTGAGAAAAGAATTGGGCAGGTGCAGGAAAGGTCTGGAGCATGTCCCGCTGCTTCTCGGCCCTTCAAGAAAAGGATTTTTGGGCAGGCTGACCGGCCGGGCAGCTGGAAAGGATCGTGATTGGGCGACATGTGGAGCTGTGGCAGCATGTGTTGCTGGAGGGGCGGACGTTATAAGAGTGCATAATGTTGCTTCTGGTCGAGATGCTTCTATAGTAGCAGCTGCCATTTTCAGGAATGTGGGGTTGTATGTTACAAAGTGAGGTGAGGAGGAGCTAGGGTGTTACTGGAGGGGCGGATGTTATTCGAGTGTATAATGTTGCTGCTGGCCGAGATGCCTCTGTAGTGGCAGCTGCTATGTTCAGAAATGTGGGGTTCTATGCATAGTGAGCCGCTAAGGCTGTGTCGTAGTGCTTATGGTGCACATAATGGAAGCATTTGTAGAAAACCAAAAATCAAGACTGCACAACAAGCTGCCCACCGATTTCTGTAAGGGGTGTGAAGTTAATTCAGTCTTGACTAGGGTTGCGTCCTCAGGAGTTATTGTATCACCGACCCCCACTGCGGAGTTCGAGTTACACTTTTGTCTTAACTGTACCCAACCCGGCGATGGAACCCTTCGACTTGAGGACGCAACACATTCGTATGAACGTGTTCTGCGAGTCAAACAATCGTTCACTACATTATTTCACACATCCCGGGCACGATGCGAGGGAAAGCTCCAATGGGAGTCCAGAAGCTGCCAAACCCGAAACCCATTTTGGTCCGCAAACCAGCGTTTTCAAACCCATTCTGACGACAGCGTGGCGGGAAATTCGAATATGATTGGCTGGAAGCTTGAGTCGTGTTAATCGAAATTCAATTCTCGTTAGACCACTTTTACATTACTGGAACCCACATCCGCAAGTTCCTACCAATAATTTCTGTGATCAAACACGACTGTCGCGCTTGTCATCACCACCACCCTCACAGAAACGAACCTCATTCGCGCTTCGCTATACTTCTCCCTCCTCTCCCACTCTCCTCTCTCCCCTCTCGAATCTGCTTCACCTCTCATCACTGATGAGCTCCTAGCAGAATTGCGAACTTGGGAGGGAAGCTATTGTATGTTGGCTATTTAGCCCCCCTAGACGACAGCCATTTAGTGATTCCGCCTCCAAATCGCACTGAATTCCAAGTCTTGTAACTATAGCAGAACCTGTTGTTGATGTTTTTCTCAGTAGGCGCCGATTTGACAGGGAGTTCCTGAAAATTCTAACTAAGAAGCGGTCTAACCGATTTTTGAGTCGACTAAGAAGCGGTCACATACGCCATGATGGAGTCGCGGTCCGACGATGAATCGCTGCCGCTCTTCACGACGCTCCTCGCCGACGAGAGCCTCAAGCTTGCCGCGCCCCGGCGAGGGCTCGTCGAGCCGCCAAAAGGCGACTCAGTGCACGACCAGACACAACGTGACTGCAGGAAAACAAATCTTCCTGACGCGCAGCGGCCACGCCATCATAATTACCCGAGAAAGAGAAGCGCGTCAGCGAAGATGATTCAGCAACTGCTCGGCGCGCAGTCGCCTGCGGTGCAGCGAAGGAGCTTGTCGGGAAACGTTACAGTCATAGACTCTACTACTGCGCAGCAGTTGGACTGCGAAACGTCAGTGGTCGCAGGGAGTTCTTCGCCGTCGCCGTTGCGACTGTCGCTAATAATACACCCTGTGCTCCACGTGTCACACCAAAAACGGCCTCGCCATAATTTCCTCCCCCCTCAAGCGGCGTTTCCACGAGCGACGGGACCTGTAGACGACGGCGTCGGCGGCGGCGGCGACGGTGAGCTTCCAGATTGCTTTGATTTGGCGAGTAACGACAACGGTGACGACAATCAAGTGAACGACAACGACGTCGACCAAGACGACGATGGCGACGACTGCGACGGCGACGGCGACGGAGACAACCATCTTAACAAAGTCGCATGCGAGCTGTCGCATGTGACACGCGTCCCACAGTTGGAGCCTTCGTCGTCGCCAGAGCAGGGTAATTCACGCGGCCCTCGCGACTCTCGTGACTCTCGCGACTCTCGCGACTCTAGCGACTCTCGTGACTCTCGCAACTGTCGCGACTCTCGTGACTCTCGCGAATCTCGCAACCCTCGCGGGGCATCGTATCGGCAGGCTGACAGGGCTCCCAGCAGCAACCCCCGCTGCGAAACCGCAGCCGCGCATTTCTCCCCTCGCTCAACCTCTCCGTCCGCCGCCTCCGCGCAAAGGTCCCCCACTTCTTCTGAAAAGCCCCCCGAGTCCAAGCGGAAGTCCAAGCTGCGCCTATTGCCCGCTCAGATCGAAGTGCTCGAGTCGCGTTTCAATGAGATTGAGCGCGAAATAAATCTGGAGACGCGGCTCGAGCTGGCGAGTCAGCTCGAGTTGAGGCCACGTCAGGTCGCGGTTTGGTTCCAGAACCGACGCGTGAAACACGCTACGCTGACGAGGGAGAGGGAGCTAGAGCGGTTGCGCGCGGAGATGGCTCAAGCGCACGCGGAGCTGGCGGAACTGGTCCTTCAGCGCTTCGGCTTCCAGTACTCCTCGCCACAGCTCACTCCTCTGTCTACCAGCCACTCGCTCTCAGCTCCACCTTCGGACGAGTCCGTAGAGCTGAGTGGTCTGTACCTAGAGCTTGTGGGTTGCCTCATGTACCTGATGACTTGCACACGACCTGACCTTGCGTACCCTCTCAGCCTTCTGGCTCGCTACGTGGCTCCCGGTAGGCACCAAAAGGTGCACTGGGATGCTGCGAAGAGGGTATTGCGTTACCTGTGCAGTACATCGGGCATGGGGCTTGTGCTTGGAGGACGGGGTCCAGTTGTCCTCACTGGTCACGCAGGCGCCTCCTGGGTTGATGACTCAGCTACGCAGAGGTCGTCACAGGGTTACACCTTCAGCCTTGGGTCCGGCTCGGTTTCTTGGCGGTCTACCCGCTCGTCTTCAGTTCTCAGCTCCAGTTGTGAGGCTGAGATCTACGCCGGAGCCATGGCTGCTCAGGAGCTACGCTGGCTCACCTACTTGCTGACCGACTTGGGAGAGCAACCTCGTTCGCCTCCAGTCCTGTACGTAGACAACAAGGCCATGATAGCCTTGTGTCAGGAGCACAGACTGGAGCACTGAACGAAACACATTGCTCTGAGATACTTCCTTGCTCGAGAGTTGCAGCAGCGTGGTCAGCTTCGTCTTGCGTACGTGGCCACTCGGGCCAACACTGCTGATGTCTTCACCAAGGCACTTCCGCCTGGTGATCATCAGCGCTTTGTTATTGTGTTAGGCCTTGTGCCTACTTTGCCTCACTTGCTTACTGCCTGACTCTGCCTGTACTGTGATCTATATATATACCTGCATGCTTGCACCTGCTAGGGTATGATCACTGTATTGTTTGTTCTCTTTATATAACTCTGCATGTGAACTGGCCTTGTGGCCCTTTGCTTGTGCTCGGACTGTGTGGTGACTTTGTCATCCACCCTGAGCTTGCTTTGCTTTGCTTCTTCTTTTGACTGGTCTTGTGACCATTGCTTGCTCTTGCTGTCCCCCACTTCGCCTATGGGGGTGTGTCAAACATATGTGTGTACATTTCTCTAGGCTGTAGTGGGTTTAGCCTTAGGGGGTACACAATTTCTCTCGACATTCTACTTGTACCCTTCCTTGCTTCCTTGTCAATCACTCTCGTCACTTGTTCTCACAGACGATGCGTTTGTGTTCTGGGTTTGGAGCTCTCGTGCCTTCGTTCGTGATACCCCCGCGGACAAGCTCTCCTCCCGCGCTATTCCCTGCGTCTTCCTTAGCTTTCCCCCTGACGCCCCTGGTTGGCAGTTTTACAACCCCACGTCACGCTGTGTCCTCTCCTCTCAGGACGTCACGTTTGACGAGTCGGTTCCTTTTTACCGTCTCTTCCCCTACCGCTCTGCCCCTCTCCCACCCCCGCCGCTCTTCCTTGCTCCAGGTCCCCATCCGGTATACCCCCTCCCCCCTCAGGGTCCTGCTCCCTCAGGTGTGTCTCAGGTAGACCCCCTCCCCGGGATTGTGCCTGTTGAGGGAGCTGTAGACTCAGGTGCTGCTAGGGGTGCTGCGTCTGGGGGTGCTGCGTCTGGGGGTGCTGAGCCTGCGCTTGCGGAGCCTAGGGGTGCTGAGCCTGCGGGTGCGGAGCCTGCGGGTGCTGAGTCTGAGGGTGCGGGGTCTGGGGGTGCTTAGCCTAGGGGTGCGGAGCCTGGGGGTACTGAGCCTGAGGGTGCGGAGCCTGGGGGTACTGAGTCTGAGGGTGCGGAGCCTGGGGTTGCTGGGTCTGAGGGTGCGGAGTCTGTGGGATCTGAGCTCAGGGGTACTGCATCTGCTGGAGGTCCTACGGGTGCCTCGCCACGACTGTCTCCCCGGCGGGAGCCTCTCTCCGCGCCGCAGCTGTGCGAGTGGATTGCTCAGCGCACTCGCCTTAGGAGTGGAGTTGCCGGAGCTGGAGGCTCTGCTGCTGGAGGCACTGGAGCTGGAGGTGCTAGAGCTACTAGTCTTGGAGGTGCTGGAGTTCCTGCTGGAGCTGGAGGTACAGGAGGTGCTGGTGCTGCTGGTCCTGGAGGTGCTCGTACTAGAGGTACTGGAGCTGCTGGGGCTGGTGTTGTTGGAGGCGCAGGAGCTGGAGGAGCTGGAGCTAGACACCCTGGCGCTAGAGGCGCTGGAGCTGGAGGCACTAGAGGTGGAGGCACTTGCGCTGGCGGCGCTGGAGCTGGAGGAGCTGGAACTGGAGACCCTGGCTCTGGAGGCGCTGGAGCTGGAGGCACTAGAGCTGGAGGTGTCAGAACATTATAGTGCGTACATTTGTGTAGGCTATAGTGGGGTAACCCGTCGACCCTAACCTAGGCCCCGGCCCCAAGGCCCGTCGCCCGTCGACCCCCCTAGGCCCGACCATCGCCTGTCGCCCCTGGCCCCGCGGCCCGTCGTCCCTAGCCTAGGCCCCGGCCTCGCGGCACGTCGCTCGTTGACCCCCCCTAGGCCCGACCGTTGCCCGTCGCCCCTGGCCTCGCGGCCCGTCGCCCCTAGCCTAGGCCCCAGCCCCGCGGCCCTTCGCCCGTCGACCCTAACCTAGGCCTCGACCCCTCGGCCCGTCGCCCGTCGACCCCCCCCCGCGTCCCCCCGGCCCGTCGTCCTTAACCTAGGCCCCGGCCCCGAGGCCCGTCGCCCATCGACCCCCCCCTAGGCCCGACCCTCGCCCGTCGCCCCTGGCCCCGCGGCCCGTCGCCCCTAGCC